GAGATAATTATGTGGTGTTGGGAAAACCTACAGGGTATATGTGATTGAACTCAGTTAAGACCTCTTTATAAACTTTTAAGATTTTGCAGGTGGGTGCAAGGATCCATTCATCTTGCTGCCATCCAAGAGAAGCTTCATGTGAAAATTCCTTTTGCTTATTAAAACTGCCACCTGCTAGCCTGGAGTGAACTGCCTCTTTCTTTGGTCTCTCCCTGCCCTCTGAATACAGGGGCCAATTTCAGATTATGCCAGGGAAGCTCCTGAGAGGGTGTGAACCAACATAAAGCAGTACCTTTGAAAAAAAAAATAAATATAAAGATAGTAGAAACACCAGAATTTTTCTGAGATGTTTCTTCCATATACAAAGCAATTCAGTTCTGCTATGGCACCTACTGTGTAAACTAACATAATCCCCTCTGATCATTTCACAAATCAGGAAAAAAAGAAATCAATTAAAAAAAGAAATCAATTAAAAAATTCTTTTCATAATTAGTAGTGATAATAATAATTTTATGGGTGTGGGAGATATTTGCCATATTTCTTAATAATAATCAATGGTTATTAATTATTACCAGTCATTATTTCAGATATACCCAGACATACTTTGTTAAGGGTGAGGGGCGAGAAGGTGAAGGGCTGCAGAGACCATAATAGCAAAGGCAATATTTAATGAAAATAGTTGCCAGAAAACCAATAGAAGGGAACACCTTTAACACAAGGTTAACCTGCTTAATAATGGAATGGAAGTGGAATACCTTAGGAGTAAACAAATCTGTACAATCTCTTCTTTATTTAAGATCATATTTCTCACCATACTATGTTTACCCAAGTAGCATCTATTTAAATTCAACTTTCAAATAGCAAATGAGTACTATTGAAGTTCTGGCTGAAAACTTCAGGTAAGAAATTTAAAAATCTTATGACAAGCAATATATAAGTAATGTATGATGTATATTTGGATTTATATTTTCTTCTAAAAGAAATATCAATCATCACAAGGTTGTGGGTTAACTTTTAGCATGGTTCATTACTTAAGTTTCCATTTCTATTTTTAAAGAATTTGGATTTTTTTCCCCAGGTATTATACTTCAGAATAATTTGATAGATATTGAGGGAACTGTTTTATAGAGCAGTAAAATGAAAGTTTTATCCCAGTGTGAACTCATTAGCCTCTTTAAAGGTTTATCTATTAGCTCTAGTTCCTACAGTGGACAGTTCATTTGGTCCTTCAGTAGGTAACACATAAAGTGAATACATAAAGGCAAAAATGATTCTCACAAGTGACTACTACAGTCTTTAAGATAGCATGTGTATAAGAATCAAGATGTCATCCTTTGGTAGGTATTTTATTTTCTTAATGTTGTGCAATGGATTTCTTATATTTATATATATTTTTTTATATTTATATATTTTAAATTTATATATATCAAATAAGTTTTTTGCAAAGTCAAATTTATTTATTAAAAAAGGGATATTTAAAGTTTCTGTAAAGAAATTCCTGTTGCAAAAGCTAGAACCAATTTTGGTAATGTAACTACTATATGTGGTCCCTTTTTGTGCAATTAATTGAAGCACATCTTTTATTATCATGATCTATGATAAAAAAATTTGTATATAGTCGTTTCTCTTTAATTATATTAGCTTTTCCTTTGAACTCATCTGATTTCGTCAATATATTAATCATATTTTTAGCTGTAGTCTCCAAAAATTTTTCTGGAGAGAGTAGATTAGCTTTTCAGTGATCTTAACATCAGAATAATTACAATCACATCTTTCATTTTCAAAAAAACCTTAATTTACCACCTCTTAAGTCTTTACGGCCAATATAATTTCTTCATTTAGCTTTCTATCAAATTTAAGAACACAAATCTAAAATTAAAATTCAATAGTTTGAGAAGCTTCTTAATACTGTTCCATTATTGAGATGCTTTTTCAAAAATTGAAGTTTATTTATGACATAACACTGGTTTCCTTTATGCACATTGGTCATCACTCACGTCCAGATACTTCAAACTCCAAGATGAGCATCAAATACCACATCTTTAATAAAACTTCCCTTTCTTTAGCCCCCACCTCCAACTCCCAAACAACAGAAAGCAATCTCTATATAGAGCTCTGATGCATTTTATCTGTGTCATTTCATCTGAAGGCACTTGTCTCTTTCTCTAGTTAGGACAAAGAATTAAATGAGAAAGATAAGAGATTTTATATATGTCTTTTACTCCAGGCACTGTGATTGTAGCTTAATCAATATTATTTTATTTATTTAAATATAACTTTTATCTTATATATTATTCATAATATTACATAATTTTTAGTAGTTATTGAATAGTTATGCATTTATTATATATTAATAAATATTTTATTATTTATCTTGTATTATTTAATACTCATAAAAGCTTCTTAAATTGTTTTTAATTTTTATTTTATAGATGAGAAAAGTGGGTCTCATCAATATGAAGCAGCATAATGTTAAACTAGAATTCTTTGTTTTTGATTCTAAAATCTAAATTCTTATGCTATCATGCTGACTCTAATATACTATACTGATTTTTATTATAGTTATATATGCAATTGTCTCCACTGAGAGCATACAATGGCTATAAGAATTATCTCTTTGATTCATCTTTCACTTAGCAGGGAGTTCTCTGTCTAGTAGGCACCCAATAAACACAAATAAACTGAATAAAGACTATATTTTAATTGTTTAAAACTGAATCTGATTCCCTGATAGTGAATAAAATGAATATATTACAGGGAATTGTTACAAATTGTTTGTTCTAGTGAATCATGACAACTATTTTAAAGTATCCTGGCAAATAACTATGGATCAGGTTGACACCAGCAGACAGAAATTTTGTACATACCATAAAATCTTAGTATATGGAGACTTGAATTGAAATACACACCACAAACTATATGATTAATCTGCCAAACTCTGAATAGTACTCTGTAAAAGTTAGTAACTGTTTTAAAGAAGCAATCAATGTTTCCCTATAGATTACCTTTGGTGATAGGGGAGCTCAGAAAAGACATCACTAAAAAATATAAGATTTTTGGGCGCTTGGGTGGCTCAGTTGGTTAAGCGACTGCCTTCGGCTCAGGTAATGATCCTGGAGTCCCGGGATCGAGTCCCACATCGGGCTCCCTGCTCAGCAGGGAGTCTGCTTCTCCCTCTGACCCTCTTCCCTCTTGTGCTCTCTATCTCTCATTCTCTCTCTCTCAAATAAATAAATAAAATCTTAAAAAATATATATATAAGATTTTTAATTTCAACAGGTTTATTAAAACAAAAAAGTCGTTTCTGCTTATTCATGGACATATGCATACACATGCACAATTTTCATAGAGATTATTTTACTCAGATGATTTGTTCTACTTTATCCAGTTTGCGTTACACAAATTTATATTGTGTATTTTATATTGTGTCATCATGTTTGGGGCACTTTATGGTTTATATGGATAGGTTTCTTACAGCTGATAAGGGGCCATGATACACTCTGATAGGACATTGTATTCTAGTGGTTAATACAGTAGGATCTGGGAGCCAAAGAGCCTAAAGGCTACTACCACCAGTTTTTTCTTATTCTACTATATGAACTTGGCAAATTACTAAACTTCTCTGTTCCTTCTTTGATGTGAGAATATAGGATCTACTTCATTGAATCTTTTTTTAGTGAGAAATAAAGATTTCTCACTAAATGAGATTTACATATGTAAAACACTTTGCACAGTGTCTGACACACAGCAAGTGCTTAATTAATACTAGCAATTATGAAAGGTTTGGTTTAAATGTATAGTAGTTCTTCCTCACACAGGCCAGTTAGCTTTTGAGCAGCACTTTCCACAGAAGCAAAGTTGAATTAGCAATTCTCTTCAAAGAACTCCTATTGACTAGTAACATTACCCATCATCTCTTGCATGTATACTTATACACAGTTTAGTCATTTACTTATAATTTTTTCTCAGTGATTACTAACACAAAATATTCTCCTAACCATGGGGCATCTGGGTGGCTCAGTAGGTTAAGCATCTGCCTTCTGCTCAGGTCATGATCTCGGGGTCCTGGGATGGAGCCTCAAGTAGGGTTCCCTGCTCAGCGGGGAGTCTGTTTCTCCCTCTCCTACCCCTCCCCCACGCTTGTCCTCTTTCTCCCCCCCACTCAAATAAATAAAAAAAACATTTTAATTTAAAAAATATTTTTCTAAACATATTATTAAAGTAGTAATAAACACTATACTTACTCTATTTGCTTGTACTTCACATTCTTGTAAGTATTCTCTTTGTAATGATCTTATCTATTAAGAACCAGTAACTAGGGGTGCCTGGGTAACTCAGTTCATTAAGCACCTGTCTTGGCTCAGGTCATGATCCCAGGGTCCTGGGATTGAGCCCTGTATCAGGATCCCTGATCAGTGGGGAGCCTGCTTCTCCCTCTCCTCCCTGCACCTACGCTCTCTACCTGTGTCTCTCTCTCAAATAAATAAATAAAATCTTTTAAAAAAGAACCAGTTACTACTATAATAATATTTAATTGTTGCTAATGACATTTTATTAAATTTATTAAATATCGGAAAATCTATAGCCTTGGCATGTCTACATTTCTGAGTAAGTTCTGACCCAATCTGATATTTCAGTACCCAGGCCTGAGTGTAGAGTTGAGATATATAGTGGTCATGGAATTTAATAGTAAGAATTTCACAATTATGAGATGTAATGAAAGGTTTGAAAGATCAAGTTTAAGAAAATGATCAGAGAGTAAGAATCATAACCCAGTTAAAGGAACAGGTTGAGAAGTAAGATACATGTTACTCCAAGCCTGTAATTATCATAAAATATTGTGCTACCATGAGTAGTATCATTTGGTCAAAGGAAGGCTCTAAAGGGTATCAATTGTTTTGAATCAAAACTGAAAAATAATTTCCCTTTCCTTTTTGCTTGAAAAGCAGAGAAATTCATTCATGTCACATCTCATCAAGTCTTCTACATCAAGCTACCTCATGTTAAACAAGAACATTCTGCTGTTATCTCTTACAATTAGTCTTTTAGGAATCACTCTTGGTGGGAATGTTCTGATTTGGCCAATGGAAGGGAGTCATTGGCTGAACATTAAGATACTTATAGATGAGTTGATTAAAAAGGAGCATAACGTGACTGTCTTAGTTGCCTCTGGTGCACTTTTCATCTCACCAACCTCTAACCCATCTCTAATATTTGAAATATATGAGGTGCCCTTTGGCAAAGAAAGAATAGAAGGAGTCATCAAGGACTTTGTTTTGACATGGATGGAAAATAGGCCATCTCCTTCAACCATTTGGAGATTCTATCAGGAGATAGCCAGAGTCATCAAGAACTTTCACATACTGTCTAGAGAAATCTGTGATGGTGTTCTCAAAAACCAAAAGCTGATGGACAAGCTGAAGAAAAACAGATTTGACATCCTGATATCAGATCCAGTATTTCCCTGTGGTGATATAGTAGCTTTAAAATTGGGAATTCCATTTATGTACTCCTTGAGGTTTTCTCCAGCTTCCACAGTGGAAAAGCATTGTGGGAAGGTACCATTCCCTCCTTCCTATGTTCCTGCTATATTATCAGAACTCACCGACCAGATGTCTTTCACTGACAGAGTAAGAAATTTCATCTCCTACCATCTGCAGGACTACATGTTTGACACTCTTTGGAAATCATGGGATTCCTACTATAGTGAAGCTCTGGGTAGGTAATTTTTTTTAATATCTGAATTTGAACAGAGTTTTGTATCACCTCTTTATTTCCCTGTAGCTGTTATTTTTCAATTGTACATATTGACAACTATATATTAGCATCATTTGAGAGCAGGAAGATAAAAAAAACAATATGCTTTGTAACTATAGTGTGTTGTTTTCTAATTTTATGGATTCAAAGATACCAGCTAAGTTCTTTTATGGATAACATATAGCAAGAGTTTAAAATCAGGACTGAATTCGCATTTAGATATTGCATTGACAATAGAAATTGCCTAGAAATTTCAGTGGTGAGTAGAGAAAACTGGAAGAGATTAAGCTTCCTATAAGTCCATTATTAATATAGGCATTTGTGTGTGTGTGTGTGTGTGTGTGTGTGTGTTTAAAAACATACATGCGTATGGACAATCTCTGATCATTGCTCATATATTTCCTACAGTCAGAGAAAGACAAATACCATATGATTTCACTCATGTGTAAAATTTAAGAAACAAAACAGATGAACATAGGCGAAGGGAAAAAAAAGAGAAGGAAGCAACCCATAAGAGACTCTTAACTACAGAGTACAAACTAAGGGTTGTTGGAGAGGAGGCAGGCAGAGGATGGGCTAAATGGGGGATGGGTATTAAGGAGGGCACTTGTTGATGAGCATTGTGTTATATGTAAGTGATGAATCACTAAACTCTACTCCTGAAACCAGTATTACATTATATGTTAACTAACTAGAATTTAATAAAAACTTAAAAAAATCAATCAATAAATAACAGGTGTGAGATGATATCTCATTGTGGTTTTGATTTGCATTTCCCTGATGATGAGTGATGTTGAGCCCGTATTCATGTACCTGTTGGCCATTTGTATGTTTTCTTTGGAAAAATATCTATTCATGTCCTCTAGCCATTTTTTTTTTTTTTGCTATTAAGTTATATGAGTTTTTATACATTTTGGATATTAATCTCTTATAAGATGTCTGATTTGCAAATATTTTCTCCCATTAGGTAAGTTGCTTTTTCATTTGTTGATGGTTTCCTTTGCTGTGTAGAAGCTTTTTAGTTTCATGTAGTTGCACTTGTTTATTTTTCTTTTGTTACCTTTGGTGTCAAATCCAAAAAATCATGGCCAAGACTGATGTCAAGTTGCTGACCACCTATATTTTATCCTAGGAGTCTTATGGTTCCAGGTCTTATTGATCAAGTCTTTAAATCATTTTCAGTTGGTTTTTGTGTATGGTGTAAGAAAGTGATCCAGTTTCATTTTTCTGCATGTAGCCGCCCAGTTTTCCACTTATTAAAGAGGCTGTCCTTTCCCCCTTGTGTGTTCTTGGCTTCTTTGTAATGAATTAATTGACCATTTAAGTGTGGGTTCTTTGGCAAGGATTGTTAAGAGAAGCGTTAATTACAACTGGTTCATCATCTCCTCTGGGTATGCTAAATAGTTGTCCCCAAATTCAAAAATAGATGTTTGTCTCCTGGGATATAAATGAAAACTGAGCTATTCTGTTATTCAGAGAAAATAAGCATGTCTACTATGTTGATTATAAACTACCCTATGAAGATAGAAGTGAATGGTCAATATTGTAGGGCTAAAACTAGATCTTTAAAAATGAAGAAAATGGATGAAGAAATGACAATTTTATGAGGCAATCAAGCTGTCAGGATCTGCAAAATCTCTTTAATCTGCTCATGCATGTAGTAAACGAACACATCTGAATATGTGCAGAATCTCAGTTAATGAAATAGAGGAGTGTGTACATAGTGCCTTAGTCACGATATAGGTTTACGTTTTTATCTCATTACTTATGTTTTTATCAACGACTTGTTCTCAGTCTTGGAATAACAATTACGATCACAATGCTTCTTATTCGTATTGGTGAGATTATTAGCCAGATAAACCTTCCTCATGCTGGCAGTCTTAGAATCACATGTTCCATTGTATTGTGCTTGTAAGTGAATACTGGTAATAAAACCACACAATTTTCCCAGTCATAAGGCATGAGACTAATCTTTCTTAACAATTTGTTCATGGGAATGTAATGAAGATTTATAAAAATGTTCTTATCCTCTGATTTTGATAATATCATGTTTCTAATCAAATTACACTCTTTTGACTTAAAATGACTATTTAAGTTTGTCTTTACGAACGATATTCTTACTGATGTCCAGGGACATGAACACTCATATTCAAAAGACCAGGTAAGAAATAAAAGTACTTAAATGACAGAGTAATTCATTTTTGTGCAAGCCTTTGTACATGTAGAATGATAAATGGAACTGACTTATAAAAATCACTTCTTTCCGATGTGTAATCTGATTTTTTTTTTTTACTTTAGTTTAAATGCTCTAAACAAAGTCATTGCAATGAGCCATGTCCACAGGTCTCAAATTATCACACCTGAGTAAATAAATGGGACAACTTCCTGTAAGATTACCTTTCTGCAGTGGAATGCAATAACCTCAGGAGTCCTTAATCTCTGCTAATTGCTAGGTCAGATATTATAATGTTTAAATAACTTCTTTTATTTCAGCATATGGGCATTTGGTTCAAACTCATGGTTCAAAATCATGATAGCAATAATAATTAATATTTGTTGATTTCTTCCTGTGTACTAGACATTGTAATAAGTCCTTCACATGTTATATCTCTTAATCTTTGCAATGAACTTGTGAAGAAAAAACTACTATCACAGATGAGATTATTGAGGCTGGGAGATATCAGTTGCTAAAATAAAATTATATAGTGACTAGTAGGGGAAAATAGTTTTCAAATGAAAGTCTGACACCACAACTGCTAGAAAAAATTTTCTCTCTTTTTAAAATTTCAGGTGCAAATCTATCAATTATTCAGAATATTTTAGGTTTAAACTTTCTCCAGTACTTTTCCTCTTCCTTTCAGTGAATTTAGCTTTTGAAGTCTGCTGTTCTATTTCTTATTTATATTAAATTTGCTAACTGGAGTTTAATTGGCTTGTGTTATCACTAGGTAACTTGCTGTTTCTTTAGGCAAAGGTTTCCATATGACTGTTCCCTGGGGCGAGTTGCCTGAGGATAGGTATCTGGTCCTAAGAGAACTTAAAATGCCATGTTTAACTGAAAGAAAAGGCTTCTACAGATTTCAAATGTATTTATTTAAAGTTGAGCCAGGTAAATTTTGTTTTTATGTACATATTAACAACAAAAAAAGCCCACCAAAATTGGGGGAATGTTTAAGAAAAAAATAATGTAGCATTTTAATGCCAGTAAAAAATATTTATAATCCATAAACATACCTATTGCTACCAACAGTTATACCTTTCGGCCTGTATAGAAACACATAGCTTTTTTGTGTGAATAATCTTTATATGTTAGATTTATATGAATACATAATGTATTATTACACATGAATAATTAGGTGATTAATCTCTAAGAACTAATGCCATCTATAACAGCAGACTTTCCTGTTAAGTGTAATAGAAAAAACAACAGATCTTCAAAAAAAACTATGACTATAATATTCAGATCTTTACATGAACTAAACACCGAGCACAGGTAATTAATGTAAAATGAAGTGTTAGAAATGTAACAAATGTGAATGTGCATATCTCCAAAGTGCTTGATTTCCAATAGTCATTTTAAAGGAGAGAGAAATGTATTGGGATTCTTTCCCTGAAGAGTACTACATGTTCGTTTGGAACTTTTTTTTTTCTCTCATTCTTTCCAATCTTTTTCTTGTTTCCCTCTATCCTCTCTTCCTCTTTTCTTCCTCTATTTTTCAATGTAAATTAATTTTGTTTGGTTAGAATCTTTCAAGTGACCTCTATTAGCATCCCCTTTTTCATAATGACCCATGAATGGGATGACAGCCATAAGCAAGACATCCAAGATGGAATTTGCTATGGGACATGCACAGTTTCAAGGGCACTGTCACTCTTTGCTCCCACTCAATGAAAGGGAATGGAGATGATCATTTTTATGGATATAATCTTGAGTTTTCTATGTGTGAATTCCTTAAAATAAGTCACTTGTGAACTTTGGTACTGAATACATTGTTAGTAACATATCATTCGTGATGTGCCTCAAGATTGAGCATGACTGACACCTGTAGAGGAACTTGTGGTGTTTGGGAAGACCTGCACCAAAGCTCAGACACCCCAGAGGACCATTATCTGGGAAGTGGAAGAGGTGGGTCTAGGTGATGAGATCTGGTTAAACTGGTAGTTTTTAAAGTAAGATTCTCTCCCTACATTACCATATACAGCTAACATTTATTGAGCATGGATGCTGTTCCAAATAATGTACACGCATTTTTTTTCACTCAGTCCTCACAACTATAAGAAATAAGCACCAGGATTCTCCACCATTTTGTAATGAGGAGGCTGAGTAACTCACCTGAGGTTACAATGAAGAAAGTGGTGACACATTTGATGCGAGACCCTGAGCTAAACGAAAAGTTCTAGAAAGATACTCAGTTTATATACAATAAAACAAAGAGGAAGAAAAAGTACATCGAATTTTAAGCTTTCAAGAATGCATTAACTAAATGCATTCAAGGAACTAAAAAAAAAAAGTTGAAGCTCTAATGTGAAGTTAAAACTCTAAGGTTACTAAGGAGTTGATTACTCAGTTTTTAAAAATAGTATGAAAGATGGGTTCCAAGCCATCTTTGGGACATCTTTATGGCCTTTGGGACCACCTCCAATCCAAGAGACAATGAGAAATGAATTAGCACAATTAAATTCTAGCCATTCATTGAAATGCTCACAGGAAGAGGAGACCTGTAACTCAGGGTATGTAGTTGGGGGGAAAATTGTAAGAAAGAACTTGCATACAAAAATGTTGTTAAAGGATTCTCAATTCAAACTAATAGCATTATGCATATTTTAAAGAACTTTAATCTTAATTTAATTTTATACAGATGAACCACACATTCTCGAGCAAGTGTTATATATACTGTTAAATAATACAAATGCAGCTGAGTGAATTTGAGTATCTAATTGGCTTTATTAAATGGTTCAGAGATAGGACACGCCTCATCTAGCAAGTAGAGGGGAACTCTGTAGAGCTGTAGAAAAGAAAGGTTTAAACAGGGTAGATTGAAGGGAATTACTAGCAAAGAATGCAGTGTTTTAGGCAAAGTTTCCTTCCTAAGGGGAAAAGTCAGCAGATCACCTCCTAGTGTTGACCAGGAAATTCCAGTTGGCAGGTGAGAGGTTACATGCCTGGGGGAGGATGGGGTGCAGTTAGACTAAGTCTTGGTTTACTGACGTGGGACATTAACAAGACTTCATTTGGGCCTGTGCCTCGTTTAAGATGTCATATTATCAAATAGTCATAATTATGAAATGTAATGGTTTTCTAATTTTTGCTGTTATAAACTGTATCTCACATTTTAAAAAATAGAAGAAAGAAGAAAGAACATTGGGCTGGGAACTGGAATACTTAGGCATTCATCTCATCTGCCACTTACTAGCAATACAACTTTGAGATTATTTAAAACTTTCTCAATCTGTGTTCTTACATATAAAATGATGGAGTTGACCAAACTGAACTCATGCTCTCTCCAGAATGGCAACCCCACTGTGCTCTTACTCACTTCTTATTCAGAAAACCTATTAGTGAACTCATGAAGCAAACAAACATGATCATTTTAAATCACTGAACTTCATTTTTGTCACGAAATCAGGAATATTTGGCAGGAGTTATTATTTTTTCCCATTGATGGAAATTTAAATCTATGATTACACCTACATATATCCCCAAACATAATTTATTTTTTATCTTCTTAAGATGTTTGAATTTGCAATGATATGTTGCAGGCATACAGGGAATTGGGGAATAAATATAACAGACATCTACATTGACACTGGTGAAATTAAACACTGTAACATCGAAGTATACTTTGAAAACAAAAAACAGATATGTTAGTTATTAATAAATTCTATTATCTGCAATTGCTCTTCAGTAAATTAGATAATTATGTTACTGTCCTGAAAAGGCCACTTAACAGTGGCAAACGGACTCCTTGAACTCTTCTTTTTTCTTTTATTCAGGATAAGTCATGTATTTGATTTGGGGATATATTTTGATAAGCTTTTAAGTGCTAATATAACTGTTGCTAATGAACAATCCCTAATTAATTATTATATTCTACTTACATGGACCTCAATAATTGGACAAATCTAAGTATTTTATAGATAAACTTTTGGTTATGCCTTATATGTTGTTGTGTTTTGTCACCTCTTTATTGGAAGGTCATGACAGCAACAGAATTATGAAGATACATCAAATTCTTTTCACTAGGCCTATATTAGTGGTCATTGTTATTATTCATACTCTTCTCTTGCTGTTGTGCTTCAAAATCTAATTAATTCTAAAAGTACAGACATTATATTCAAATTGAGGCTGACTCTTGAAAGGACACAAATACAATAATTCTAAAAGCATCACTTCTCTCTCTCTTCTTCCCCTTTCTCTGTCTTTCTGGTCTTTTTGTTACTCAAAGTCCTGTAATTAGTCAGTTTAAAGGCAACAGAGCATGAAAAGAAAACAAACCGCTTAATTTCCATTCTCAATTCCTGGTTTCTATCTTTTTAATCACATTATTTGTTCTTATTTTCTCTTTTTAATGGCAACTTCTAATGATTTCAGCTTTTAAAATAGCATCAATATATGGTTGCCCTTGTATAGTTTGGCATTTACTAAGAATCTCAACAGACAGATATCATTTTATCTACGTCTAGCTGGTCATTCTGTAGCTAGCCCATTGGTTTACCGATCAATCTTCAGGCAAATTTATTAATCTACAAACATTACCAAACTTTTACTTTGAACCAAGCAGTTTACAAAGCAACTTCGCAGATATTATTGCTAATCCACAAAGTAATATAACAAATTAACATCACTATCTCTCATTTATGCATGAGAAAATCAAGGCTGAAAGGGTCTAGGTAATTTTCCAGGGTCACAAAGCTTGTAAAAGAACAGTTTTTGAATCTGGGGCTATTGAACTCTAGTGTCCACCCAATTTAAGCTACTACACAATTCTGAGTGAAAAAGCATGTGGCTTCTTGAGGGGCTAGGCCCTTTCTTCTTGATTTGTTTATGAAGATGTCATATGAAAGAAAGTGAAAAATTCTGTGCAAGGAGATGATTATCAGTATGCTTTATCAGAGAAGAAAACTCTCCTCTGACAAATGTGTAATAATTTGCTCTATAACCCAATTAATCTAAAACATCTTGAAATCTTTGAGAAAACCTCTTCTAAGCGAAGGTTGTTTTTAGTTTTTCTTCCTAAATATGAGCCATGGGGAAGTAATAATAATGCTGGTCATTGTGCATTGCCAAAGTCTCTAAAACTTACAAAGATGAGGCATAATACCGTGGAAATCCAGCAATTTCTCAAATGATGTTATAATAATAGTCCCAGTTGCCCTACTTTGTCATATGTTTTTAAGGTATGCAACTCAACATTAATTTCATTATCTATGATATGTAGCAAGTAATTTATGCCACACAACTCTGGAAGGGACTGAATTAGACAATGTATGTAAAAATGCCTCATAATAGATATCTAACTTGAAGTTACTGTAAGTTTTGAGAAAGTGGCTTTAGCAGTAAGAACTATTATTTTTTGTTTAACCTAATTTTAGGAAAGAAAAATTAAAGACACATTTTACAATTATTATCACAGAGTACACAGACCCCAGGCTTATAACTTGACTTCTTCTTTTACTTTCAAATAGGACTTGATTTATTTCTGTTGCTAGAATAATAATATTATTACATATAACGGCTTGAATTATATTATTTTCCTTTTAATCTATAGATGAATTGACCTATGAGGGAGTATACCTGTCACATCAAACATTATTTGAAAAAATAATCTACCTAAATATACTTTGAAAATTTCTTTTTATCTTAAAAGATCTACAGTAGGATGGTTTTCAGAATGGATATCACCATGCCTAAGAAGTTTGTCCAGCTGCTGGTTTTTAATTTGACTTTGACTGAAATTGTTCTAAGTGGAAATGTGCTCATTTGGCCAACGGATGGTAGCCATTGGTTAAATATTAAGATCATTCTAGAGGAGCTGATTCAAAGAAATCACAATGTGACTGTACTGGCTTCATCAACAGCTCTATTCATCAACTTTAATCCTGATTCTCCTGTGAATTTGGAGGTGATACCTGTCTCCTATTTGAAGAGCAATATAGAATCCGTAATTGAACACGTGATAAAGCTGTGGCTAGACCACAGACCAACTCCTCTCACACTCTGGACTTTCTATAAAGAACTAGGAAAATTTCTAGATACTTCTTTTCGAATCAATATACAAATCTGTGATGGAGTATTAAACAACCCCAAGTTAATGGCAAAACTTCAGAAAGGTGGTTTTGATGTGTTGGTAGCAGACCCAGTAACTCTCTGTGGGGACCTCCTTGCTCTGAAATTAGGAATTCCATTTGTGTACACATTGAGGTTCTCTCCAGCCTCCACAGTTGAGAGACACTGTGGGAAAATCCCAGCACCTGCCTCCTATGTACCTGCAGCTTTGTCGGAGCTCACTGACCAGATGACCTTTGGTGAGAGGGTTAAAAATATTATCTCTTATTCTCTGCAAGACTACATATTTCAGTCCTACTGGGGAGAATGGAATTCTTACTACAGCAAAGTTCTAGGTAAGTCTCTAAAATATTATCTTATTAATGTCTCCAGATATCCCATTTATTCTTGTTGGTAAAAAAGCAAACGGTTTCTGTCCCACTGCGCATGCCAGGCTGAAGTAAATATACTCATTATATATAATACCCTCATACAAGATCATTCTTTTTGCATAAAGTCCTTAAAAATGTAATGGTGGCATTATTATGCATGCTAGTGCTTCAAAGCAAATAATTTTGTGCCTATTTAGGCCATGGGTTTTCAATGAGTGAATCAATCTTCAATATAAATGAAAGCGCCTTTACTAGGATGAATTGCGGCGCTGCTAAAAAATACCTGGCAAACATTTTGAAGTGATACATGATTTCCTTTCCCTCTTTCATTCCTCATTCTTTTCATTGTCTGCAGAAAACTTTAAAAAGCCTAGGATTGGGCACTGGAAACCTGAGTTTACACCCTCCCCCATCTCTCACTATCTCTCCATCTTAGGCTCCTCTGGGTGCTTAGACTAGCACATGTCATCTCCAGCTTAATTTCTCTGTATCCTTCGGCAGTCCTCAAGTTTCCTTGCCTCACATGTTCCTGCGAGGATCAAATAAAATAATGCAAACAGCTCTGTATGGTTGTTTATCTTTCTGATCCTCATGAATCTTCCTTCATTTTTCTATTTTCTTCTCTCCTGAAGGTTTTTTTTCTCTAGATTTATCAGTATTAAGTACCAGGGATATTAATTAACAGCAGAAATTAACCGTTGATACTACCAATGGTACTTTCTCACAAAGATAATATGCAAAATATTGTCCTTTTACATACCTTTCAGCCTTCCTCCCTCCCCCTCTTTATTTTCCTTTCTTTCTCCTTCCCCTCTTCTCTCCCTCCCTCCGTTCCTCTCTCCCTTCCTTCCTTTCTTCTACTATGCTTTCTTTGTGTAAAAAAAAAAAGTATTTATTGAACACCAACGCGGTACCTGCCACTTTTCTAGGTACATTTGGCAAAACAGATCAAAATCTTTACTCCCCTTGGAGCTTACATTTTAGTAAGAGGATACAGACAGTAAATAAATAAAATATAAGATGTTAGACGGTGATATATGCTACGTAGTAAAATAAGAATAGGTAGTTTTGGGAGGAAGGTTATACTTTTAACTCCAGTGGTCAGGGAAGGGCTCAAAGGGTGACATTCAAACGAAGACCTGAGGGCAGTGAGTGTGAGAGCCATTGGGATCTCTGTGGGAAAAACATTTTAGACATCCATAAGAACAAGTGGAAAGATCTGTGGCAAGCCATCGAAGCAGGAATAGCCTCACTGTAACGTGACCTTAATCTTCCCTTTCACAAGCAGAATTTGTATATATTTTTTTTCTTTCCTCGTTTTTGGAATATTCTTCATCCAATTTTCCATCACTTAAACTTTTAAATTTCTTCATAGAGTTGTCTGAGGGAAGATATTGAACTTACCACACATATATAAATAAAAGATATGCAAGATAATTCAAATTTGTATATGCATTTAAAAATACGGTAATTAGAATTTTAAAAGTAAAATGTTGTGTTTTTATATTCATTATAATGTCACTTAACTACATTTTCTTTTTCTCTGGGTTCCAAATTTCATATGCCTCAATGACATATTTTGATTTATTTTTCATTTATTTATTTTTTTAAAAGATCTTATTTATTTATTTGACAGAGAGAGACACAGCGAGAGAGGGAACACAAGCAGGGGGAGTGGGCGAGGGAGAAGCAGGCTTCCCGCTGAGCAGGGAGCCCGATGCCGGACTCTATCCCAGGACCCTGGGATCATGACCCGAGCCGAAGGCAGCCGCTTAACGACTGAGCCACGCAGGTGCCCCAATGACATATTTTGATTTAAATTTAGATGTTATTTTCCAAGACATTTGCAATGTGTCCTTTAATAATTACTTCTGCCCATAGATGCATCACATACCAACTATTGCAGGTATTGAGTGAGATAACAGTCTCTGTTCCTTAAATAAGGGGATACAAAAAGTAAGGTGGTGAAGGTTCTTGGAAAGCACATGGGGTTCTGGGTTCAAGTTCCATTTGCTGTGTAATTTCAGGCAAATGATTTAAACTCTGAGTCACAACATTTCTACCTTTTTAAAAGGGGGTAATTATTTCATTGGACTCTTTAGGATGATCATATGACATATGGATATGCTATGTCAATTATAGAGAATTGTACTTATGTTAAATGTTATTTACAGCAAACTATGTAAGAACTCTGCAATGACAAAAGCCCGGGTTCTGTGCTTACTAAGTAGTCAATATAGATAAGCAAAGAATAAACAGCCTCTGGGGTATACTAACTCTTCCTTCTCAGAAGGAATCATGACAGATTATATAATGTATGCAAAAGCCTTTGTAAAACAGAATGTTCTTGTCTTCTCATTTTCACAGGATCATAATCTAGTTTCAGAAATCCCATATCCTGAGAAATTAGATATCATATTTACTTTAATCCTTTATACTCCTCATGTACTAAACATACTTGAACAACAAATAATTGCCTTGGATATTTTATTTCAAATTGAAGTATTGGGAGTAGTATAATCTAATTTGTCTTTTGACTGCAATTACATTCTTAAAAGTATTAGGGACACCTGGTAGCTATAAACTGATAGTGAAGTAGGTCAGGTACCTTACATTTGATATTATTATCAAACACAGGAGAGCGCAGGATATTTAATAACATCAAATTGCAGGAGAGTTTCCATCTCCATGTTTAATCTTTAGTTTTCTGGGAAAAATCAACTAGAAAAATAGCATGTTTAAGTGTGATAAAGAAAAATTCCAAGTTTCTATATTGAAGGAAACAAATAAATTAGAAGGAAATATCTAACTGTACTGGTTAAAAATCCTGTTTTATTTATCAGTGAGATCTTAAATATTATCGATGAAGCAAATAAAATTCATGAATTCAATTTTAAATATGCTTCTAACACCTAATGGCACAGGCCTATCTGGAAATATGCCAATCATTGCTATTCATATACAGGAGTGAACCTCTAATTAATCTTGCTCAAGCCCAGTGTTCCGCAGGGCACGTTCAAATTGCACTGGGCTTGATCTCTCCGCAGCCTCGGAGAGATCTGCTGACCAGCAAGTAGATAGCTCTAATGTGGACAGAATTTGGGACTCGCCTTTGTGACCACACTATAGGAAGGATGAGGGCCTGAAAGCTGTAGTGGAACCAAACAGGTATAGCAACGGCATGTCCCCATTTGTCCGTGTCTTTTTATTTACCAGTCTGTTTCCATCTTTCCAAGCACACTGCAGATCAAGAGAGCAGAAAGCCCAGTACTAATCCAGGCACCGTTTGGCCAGTGGAGCCCACTTTTACGCATCAGCCACCACACTGGTTCCATGTTGCTCCCTTTCTCTCCCTCTTGCAAAATTTTAAATGGATTCCCTAGAACTAGTGCTACCTTTCCCAGCCCATGAAGAAAAAGAACGAAACAAAAAACGAAACGAAACGAAACAAAACAAAAAGTTTTTTAAAGCTTCTTAACATTTCTTCTCTACCTTACTTGCCTGGAACGGGGCTAGATTAATCACATTTTTTTAATATATATTTGATTTCTGCTTCCCGTTCTGGACCCAGTGTTTTGTTTATTTGTTACACATTCTAATCCCCATTGTCAATCTCCCATCCTTTTTCTGGAAAACTTGTATCTATCTCTCTGTTGATCTTCCCTCACATAAGGCTTCTAATTCCTTCTCACACGCAATTTCCCTAGGATCAGTGCTGTAAGGTTTTTAAAATTCTGTGTAACCTATCTTTTGAAGTAATACATAAATCCTAATTTTACAGTTTACTGAAGTTTCACAGCATGAACCTACCCGGGCAACCAGCACCCAAATCAAGAACCAAAACATACCCATAACTCCTCTTTCTCCTCATACCAGTCTCTACAACTCCTAAGGGTAGCCACTTGACTTCTAACACTACAGATTAATTTTGCCTGATTTTAAACTTTGTATAAACGAACCACACATTGTGTACTCTTTTGCATTTTGGTTCTTTTGCTAATGTTTTTTATATTCACCCAAGTTTTTGCATAGAGGTATAATTTGTTCATTCTCAGAGTTATGTAAATTCCATCGAATTAACATAGCACATTTTATTTATCCATTTTGCTGTTGATAAACATGTAGACTATCCTGGTTTTGGCTATTTATGATAAACATTGCTATGAACATTCTTTTACATGTCTTTTGGCAAATATGCATGTGTCATACCTGAGTGGAAATGCTAGGTCATAGGGTATGCATTGCTTAGCTTTAGAACATACCGTTAAAATCTAGTTTCTCAAGTGCTTGTGCCAATCAATAATCCCATCAGCCATTTACTAGGATTCCAGTTGTTCTTCATTCTTACTAACAATTAGTATTTTCTTTTTGCCTTTTGAAAAAATTATAACCATGCTGTTGATGTGTAGGGTTATCTCATTTTTAAAAAAGATTAGAAACTAATTTACACATGGTAAAAGGAAGTGTATAAAGTATACAGTGTGATTTGTTTTGTCGAATGTATATATCTCTGTAACCAGCACATCAATCAATTTCTGGGATTCCTTTTCTAAAAATGCTGTTCTCCACACCTTTTCAGAATGAGTAACTCCTACCACTTAGTTTTCATTCTTCATTCTGATTTCCATTTTCCTTTTGTGGGCTTTTAAAATGCATTATCTAATAATTTTAACTCTAAAAGTAACATGATTACATTGTCACTCATATTCAGTTTGTGCTCCATCAAGAAGCTTTGGTCTAGCTCTATTCAGTGATTCTGCAGCTAACACCCTTGCTAATTGTACCATCTTTGCTAGTAACTTATTAAATAGCTACTCTTACTAAACACCTACCAAGAGCTTTGGTAGGTACAATGCAGACATTATTACTAATCCAATACACAAGCCAAGAATGATCATTATCTTTTACACTGGAGCCATCAAAATTCAGAAAGATTAAGGATTTTGCTGAAATCACCAAATATA